GTGAGAGATTGGGACCCATCCAGTCTTTCGTGCATTGCATCTATTCTAAAAGATGGATTCTTCTCCAGTGGAGACAGATGTACACCACAAAAGCAGCAAAAGGTTATGTTTAAATCTCAACCTCATCCTAAGGATGGGCGGTTTTGTAAACAGGAACTGGTGCGAACTGCTTGGATGGAGGGTATGGGGTTGCATCTATTTTAAAAGATGGATTCTTCTCCAGTGGAGACAGATGTACACCACAAAAGAAGCAAAAGGTTATGTTTAAATCTCAACCGCATCCCGAGGATGGGCGGTTTTGTAAACAGGAACTGGTGCGAACTGCTTCTGATATCATTGCCGGTTATGAAAGAAGGCTTGGGGCATTAGAGAAGTCATGGCTGATGAAGAGTGCAATTTCTGCGCTGGAATTCTAGACTTGGACCGCAAGAGAGCAAAGACCGAGGTTAAATCAGCACATAACATGTCTTTGGGGTTGAAGCTGTTGACGAAGTCAAAATTCTAGGGTCAAAAGTCTGTCCATCTGTCTCCCAGGACGTGCCAAATGTCCTTGGGTCTTGGGGGCAACTGGAGGCAGATCAGGCCAAGTCAACACTAGAAATATTAGGCCTGCCCTAGGTTGTGAGTTCATTCTGCCTTGCCCCTGCTTTGAAACTGGAGCACTAGCGCTGGAAGAAACAGGCCGAGAGCAAGACTGAGCATGAGGGCAAGAGTAGCCATGTCTAGGATAGACGGTGTGCTGCACCATAGCTTAGCAGGAGAGAGAGAGTGGAGTTAAGGGGAGGATCATATCCTTTTCAGAGGGAGAGCAGCGCGAGAGGGAGAGAGGCACCTGCACTTACCTGGTGGTGCGCTTTGTTTGGAGAGACAGCTCTTTGCTTCTGAAGGCCAGCATTGCGGCAGATTCATATTCCATTAGAGAGTGACTTTGCCAATTGGTGAGGTGCTTGTGAGAGATACCAATTTCATTATCGGTAGAGGGGTCTGTTGACTCAGGTGAATTGGTGAGAATTCGTGAGAAGTGAGGGACGAAGCTTTGAGGAACAAGGGGGAAGGCAAGACCAGACATTATGCTCATGGTTGTTATTGGAAACTATCCTTCTCCTCTTATTCTAATCCTCCTTTGTCAGAATTCTGGCGCCCTTGATACCTTGCTATCTCTTCAAGATTGTCAATCTTTCAGCATCATGAGACTTCTACATGGATTTGATCTTGTGAGCTTCTCGGTTCTGGTATCAGAGCATGACCATCCACCCATCCATCCATCATCTCTCCACTGATAGGCTCAGTGACTCGACCAAGGACACTGGGTGGGCCATCCGCACAAACACATACATTGCAGGGATTCTCCCCGGTGGTAATAAAAACTGACGACTGGTGAATGAGGAGATATGAGAATAACAGGACAACAAGAAGAAGAACCAGAGTAGTTGAGAAATGACAGTTTTTTTTTTTTAAATAATATATTAAAGTAGGCTATATTCTTCTCTCATCTATCTCATCCTCTCACTAGACTACGTATAGTACGGGGGAACACCAACCAACCTGGATCTCTCCCCAGCCCACAGGGTAGGTTGGCACCACAGCAGTGGTGCGAGAGCAAGGCTGTACCAGTCCCTCGTCATGGTGATGAGGGGTGGGGAGGCATTGCCAATGGGGAAATCGGCGGTGCTAGCGCTGAGCAATGGCCAGTCACTGCACCTCCCCGTAACCCCCTCCCTCCCCCCGCCCCCCAATCCCACATGGCGGTGTCTAACGGCCAGTATCGTCGCTCCATAGCAACCAACAACATCAGCCAAGATCCTGCCAATGCTGGCTTGGGGGGCCAACGGGTTATCTCTAGCTGGTAGAACACCAAGCTTGCCCAGGCACGTGTGTGAGGCCAATGGGGATTGAACCCACGACCACCTGAATGCAACTTCTGTGCCTTACCAACTGAGCTAGGCGCGCAGGCCGAAATGGCAGTTCGCTACGTGCTGAATAAGAACGCCTGCTCAAGCCAAGAAAGAGCCTTCCACAGAGATTGTCCAATACGTGGCAAACTTGTGAGCATAGTAAATGACACATTGTGATAGAAGAATGGGCACTCTACAGGTCAACAGGCAAACGAGCCTCTCAGAAGCACATGAACGAGCCGCAAACAGCATCTGGCTTTCATACCAATTCAGCAACTTGTCCAGTTTCTGAGATACTATTACTGTTCTTGCGTCGGACACCTTTTTATGACGTTCTTAGTCAAGGCTGAGAGTGAGAGGAACAAGAGGGACAGGCAATCTGACAGTCAATCCTCCATGTTGGAGCAATCAATGCTGGTCAGGGGTCCTTCGGCCGAGACGGAAGCAAGCAAAGACTGGGTATTCTTTGTACTCAGTTTTTCTTTCCTGCCGGTGGAATGGGACTGAACTGACATTGCCCAGAATGGAAAAGGAGCCAGGACCATAAGGACCTGTTTTTTTTTTTTGGGGGGGGGGGGAGAATAAGAACGCCTGCTCAAATAAGCGTTCTCCTCCTCATCACACCCAAGCAAGAATGTCCCAGGTCCTGACTGGGGAGTAGACCTCTCAATACCGTACCAATCCTTCTCTCTCTCTCACTCGAGTACACCTCTCAATACCGTAACAATCCTTCTCTCTCTCTCTCTCTCTCACACACACACACACACACACACGCACACACACGCACACACACAAGTACTACTAACAAATACATACGAATGAGCATCATTAAGAGTATAGACGATATGAAGATCAGAAATGAAATGAACGGAAGTATGAAGATGAAGGACGGACACAAAGGCTGTATAAGCTGAAGATCTGAAGTGAAATGAACGGGAGTATTAAGCTCTGAAGAGATATACAGGAGCATTCCTTCCTTTTCACTCTGCCTCCTGAAATAACGTGCAAGTGGGCCGTGAAGGCACATGGGGATGTGGGCAGCTGCCGCTCAACCACAGTCAACGTGGGCAGCCTTGTGCGTAAGAGACACAGTAAAAGGGGAGCTGCAAGAACAATGAAAGGGGTACCCCAAGGACAACCAAAAAACTATCCAATTATAACATTGCTTTAATATGTTGGACATCTCAAATGCTCTCGTTGTCTGCAATAGGACAACGACTGCTTTGATTCTGAATCTATTCACCTGGGTGGAATTGGGGCTGTTGTGGGGAAAATCTAAAACACACACACACGAGGTAAAGTTACTGCGATTTTGGATCTACTCATCTGGGTGGAACAGTGGATGTTGTGGTGAACATTCACAACACACACACAAACACATTCTCTATCTCTTGCCTCCCCCCCCCCCCCCCCCCCTTCTCACTCCCTCTCTCACTCGCTGTGGTGCCCCAGGAGGATGACTGAGAAGGGGTCAGGTTGTCGGCGGAGGTGAGTCGAGGGGAGAGACAAGAGGAAGCAGACGATAGGGAAGAAGAGGGCAACAAGGGGGAGAGAGGAGGAATGAGAAGAGCAGAAAGAGGATGATGAAGAGAAAGATAAAGAAACACGTGAGCAGGAAACAGGTGAGAAGGAAGAGAAGAAAGAAGAGGAGGAAGACGAGGAGGACGACGAGGAGGAAGGAAAGTACAGGAGGAAGACAAGACAAAGAACAGGAGGAAGAAAATAGGTAGACAAGGTCGACGAAGAGGAGGAAGAAGACATTTGGATGAAGTAGAGAAGGGAGAAGAGGAGCAGGAAGAGAACAAAGAAGAGGAAGAAGACAGGAAGTTGAGGGAGAAGTGCTCACTTATGTTTGCAGGGAGAGGGACATAGTGATGGCATGTATGGTTGATCCTCACCTCCTGTAGCTTCTTGGGGGCATGGGATGATCCTTCCCCATGCAGAATGTTCAAATTTGAAAGCCCGATCTGGGCCATTCGATCTGTAAGATCTACGGGCCAGATATAGCCTTTTTCTTGACTGGGAACTTCGACCTGGGGTCCGGCCCTGCATGTCCAACCCCTCCTGACCACCCAGGCCAACTGCGGACAAATTTCGGGCCCGGTGCTGTTCTGCGGCAGGCCTGGAAATTTTGGGTGGGGAATGTCCATTCAGGTGTCTGGTCCGAAGAACCTGGACACTCTGGAGGCCCCTGGACATCTGGGCCGGCTGCCTAAAACACAAAGGCTCTATGTTTGGCACATGACAGTAGTAGTGTCCCTGGGTCAGAGTAGGCACCCATGGTTTCTCCAATACGAGTGAAGCTCCAGAGGTGTTTTGCAAGGTGTTCTTCACTGCAAGTATATTCGGCACTCTACCAGTTGTCATTCTGTTTTTATGCTGCAGTAGCCATGTTCTTTTTGGCCCCCATAACATCAAGGCTTGATCCCCTGCTTCCCCTTCCCTTTACCCTTTGGTGAAACTCCGCTGGTCCGTATCCTTCTCTCCTCTGCATCCCTATTTGTTCTGTGTGAATGCTAGGAGCAGTTTCTATTACTTTCTAACCAATCAAAAGAGGTTGCTGGCTGCTGTGGGGTAGGAGTTGGCACTGAATAGATGCGCAATAAGTAATTTTCGGAAATGGGTCGTTTCTATCAGGCTTGCATTGGAAGTTTTTTCTTTGAAGTGGCACGACCCTGATTTTCTCCGCATTTCTTGAAAATTAGATCAATCATCAATATCATTTTGGTCCAAGGGACCCCGAATCAGACATGAAACTGATCATATGCTGCTTGCCTCTTTGGTTGGTGATTTGAGAGCAATCTGGAGAGCAGAAAGAGGGCTGGTGCACCAAGGGGCCTAGGTCAGTTGCTACACCCATAAACTGTTGAAATACAGACCCGAGTTCGGATCCAGATACAATCAGACAAACAGAATAAAATAAGTTCCGACTTGCCTGGGCCCGGTTAGTTCAAGGATGATACGTCAAGGCCATTGCCCTTAGAAAAAAAAGGAAGGAATAAGAAAGGAAAAAAATAAAGAAAGAGCGCTAGTGCATAGCAAAAGCGAAGTGAGAGTTGTGGGGAGTGCCAACTTATGCGGTTTTTGTTTTGTTTCTAATTGCAGATCACATTGAAATCATGACTGGCTCACAGGAGCCCAGTTCTATCAACATGTGGGAAAACGTGATGTGCGGTGTGAGGCTTGTTGCAGAGGCAGCAGCTCAGTTAGAACAGCAGGCCATGGTGGATCAAGTGTCTGAATTGGATGAGGAGAGGAGAATCAGTGGACAAATGGAGTCAGTGCATCACAAACCAGTAACGCAGACTGCGTTGCTCAACCAGAAGGGAGGTACAATCAACCAGACCTCTGATCATCTCTTGCAAGAAGGTGTGCACACCCTGCAAGATGGAGTAAGTAGATCTGAACATGAAGATGGCATCGGTACATCCCATGCAGTGATTGCTAGTTCTAGTATGGGCTCCGAGGAGTTGGGTCTTCTGCAACAGCCAGGGAACAGGCCCAGCTCTGCTGCAACTATCAGGGAGTTGCCTCTTTGTGAATGCGACAATGCTGCATCTGGCAGGGTGGATATTACTAAAGACTCTGCTGCTAATGGACTGGGTAGTGCAAATGCAGACCTGGGGGCAGAGAAGGTGAAGCTTCAGCTATATCCAATTGATGATATAACGCGGAGATCTCTGGCCAAGGTAGGGAAATCGCATGCCACCTTACTTCTTTGAGGCAACCCCTGTGAGAATGTCACATGCTTTGCCCTATTCACCACCATGTGGAGGAATGAGCTATTTGGCCAACTGCATGCTACACCTGAAGTTTATATCATGAAATCATCAGAACATCTTGTCCAATCCTCTCAAATCTGAAGTTGAATTATGATCAGCACTATCTTTTGCCTTTCTTGTATCTTGGCCTTGGGTTCCCGTTCCTTCACAAGAAAGTGGTAATTCTGTTAGCCCTTGGTAATTGCTAAGCCCATTGATCCTAAAAGTAGGACGAATGGAACACACATACCTAAGCACAGAAATGGCCCCATATTGCAGCATGGGTCCTTTTTTTTCCCCCCTTTTCTTTCAGGAGATAGTGGTTCAATTGCGGCGTGGATCCTGCTTGATGCAGAACGACGATGTTGGTGATCTCATGACTGTCAGCGCCACACCGACATGAGAACATGTGCACCCTTCGTCAAGTGATAGTCAATGACCAAGTTAGCATCATGACCGCACTTTGTGGGAGGGCGGATGGTGTGACGAAGTCCATAGAGAAGGATTGCCAACGACCCTCCAGTATGGGAAGAGGCACCTAGGGAGTATGAAGGGACGGTCTTACGTCCCCCCAAACTTACGTAGATGTCGTAAAAGTCGGGGCAGCAAGGATAATGGGTGCGAAATGAAGCAGTAACTGAATTGTTAGTGGTGGTGACTGAGATGGCAAACATCGTGACGGCGTCGTGATGGAGATCAAGGCGCGGAGACAAGGCGTATGTGACTGAGTTCCACTCTCCACGAATATGATGAATGGTGGAGGTGAAGTCGGATAACTCACGCTACCAATGTGCCTATTGAGGTGAAAGCTCGACTTTCTTGAGGAAAGTCGCGACAACGGAGTTGTCCGTGAGCACAGTGCTATGTGTGTTTTGCAGACAATCACGCCAGTGCCGAGTGGCATAAACTACTGTGAGAACCTCACATTCGTCGATTGTGTAGTTTATCTCGGCGGGCAATAACTGACAAAAATAATAGGCAATTGGACACTCCCTAGCATGAGCCTCGACAGTCCCACCCTCCACAATGATCGGAGAATAGTTGATAGGTGGACTGTGAGTGGAAAGAAGTGGTGGAAGGGTAGGCATCCGAGAAGCAGTGGCAGTAGGGGGAGAAAGAAAACAAGGGATACGAAGAAAAGAGGAGCCAGGCATGGGAGGAAACGTCTGGGAAAGTACAACCCTTACCGCAAATCTGACGCATTCGCGGTGATAATAAAGAGGAATCAAAATTAGAGAGATGAAGAACGAACACACAAGGCATCGCCTTCTTGAGGGCGCGAAAAGCGTCCTCATGGAGGGGTGTCCAGGTGTACGGCTCGTTCTTGCAAAGGAGAGTGGAGGTAAGGACGTAGGATTGCCTATCGTATCCCATGAGCTTATTATAATAACTAGTTAGACCTAAAAAAGCTACGAAGCTGCTTGGTGGATATGGGGGCAAGCCAATCCATGATAGCAGTAGTATTTGTGTCGTTCATGTGGAGACCCTTCTAAAACACGTGGTGTCCAAAGAAGTCCACTTTGCGTTGGGCAAAGCGACAGTTATTGAGCTCAGCGGAAAAGCCATGCTATCGTAAACGTTGTAGGACACCCCGACGGAGTTCGATATCGTCATCTAAGGTAAGATTATATATTAAAATCTTGTCTTGGCACACGAAATTTACTTTTCAAGGGTTTTCTTGAAACTATTGTTCATCACCGTTTGGAACATGGCGGGTGCATTGGTGAGGCTGAATGGTATTATCGTGAACTCATAATGTTCGAAGCGTGATCGGAAAGCGGTCTTCTAGTCCTCTTTAGCGCGGATCCGGTGGTAATCACTTTGAAGATCATGGGGTGCATCCTAAGGACAGGTACTCGGTTTGAAAAAAAAACAGTCAAATGAGCTCCTCAAGCTGACACTTGAGTTTCATAGCCTTTGGAATTGAGAAGGGTGTGCCGGATGGTGAACACGATAGTCAGACACGAGCTGGATTGAATGCTCTATACGGCGCATTGGAGGAATCCTGCTAAATGAAAAATAGGGGGAAAGACGTTGTGGTACTCTCAAATCTGGTTATGAATGGGCTGCTCTAAGTCTGTTGTGAACTTAGTGGGTTCCTTAGCGTCTGCCTGATGATGAGGAATGCACGTGGACGCGGCAGTGGACGATGTAGGAGCCTGGGATGTCAAAGCAGTATCAACAAGCTGAAAGGTAGATGTAGTGATGGGACGCGCGAAGATAGAGGAAGGGTCAGTTGGATTGAGCTCCAACGGTATAAGCTCAACATTCTCGCAAATAGTATCATAATGGAGGAGGTCCATAACATTGACCATGTAAAGTGTCAAGTGGGCGAACTGGCGGGGAGCGGTGATGGGATCTGGAGGGGTGATCGTCTTAGGGAGTTAAGTGAGTTGGGGTGTCGCCTATGGTTTTGAGGAAGGGGATACAATGGGTAAGGCCGCACGTTGTTTTCAGAACGAGTGTCTCGGTCTCCTATTTAGCCTCTGTCAAGCGGAATGGACGGGACCACAGAGTGGCAAGGATGAAGTCGTACAGGCTGTCCATTACATTAAAATGTGCAGAGGAGTGGAAGTGTGTACTATCCGACATCTGAAGCGGAAGGGAAAAACAGAGGCTAGGGACTGTCTGATCGAATAA